CCAAGACCGAGGCTCTCCTCGTATTCAGTAAAAGAATGATTTCTAAACGTGTCTTCTCCACCATAAGGAATGAAATCATACACTAAACCAGAGACGCCTGCTCGAACGAATAACTTCATCCCCCATTTTTTTGGTTTTTTAGGTAGATATTGGCGCCTACTTCCCGCTCTTGTCCCTTTGTATGGGACCATCATTTCGTCGACGCTGTAGCGTTGTTCCTCCTTCATTTTTAAGCAATTAAGCCTAATTTTTTCAATAATTGGTCGAACTTTGTAGTAACGGTCGTCGTTAATGTTGCTGTTGTCGGCGAAATGTAAATATTTCCTTATTTTCTCATACTTTTTTAAAGGCATGATATCAGCGACAGCTGGATATCGCAAAAATCGACTCCAATAATCTCTGTAAGAGGGCATTTTCACTACCCCCATAATGAGTGTAATCGCTATGAAATCTTTCACATCATCGTTTCTTATATTTATAGATCTCGAATCGGTTTGAACTGAATATAAGTTTGTCTGTTCTACTATTAATTCGAATATGTCATTTGAAAAAAAGTCAGTGAAATAATCTAAGATTGAATGATGTGGATCGGGTGAGAAATCGTGTTTCGGTGGTTCAAATATAGCTGCGTACTGTAGTTTTCCTGCTCTGAATTTGAATGATAGAGGTTTTCTTACAAACTTCTTTACTTTTTTTGCCGCTGGGTGTTTAGGTTTTGTGTTCTGTCGTCGCTTTGAACGTGTATTAGGTGCTGCTGGAGACATGTTAGGTGATAATACTGATGAGACCGAATTCAGTGTGAATGGGAGCGGCTGATTTGACGGGCCTGGTGAAAACATTTGGTTAATTAAAGGAGACAAGGGAATTGTTGGTATGTGGAGTATGGAATCATTCATTATATCTTGTGGCATCGACGCAGACGAAATCGGAGTTTGGACTTCAGAACATGGTACTTCAGGTATGTTGCAATCATTTTGTTGAGGCGGAGTTGGCGATGGAGGCGTCGTCGGACGAGAATTTTCTTTGGAATTGGGTAAGTATGACTTGCTTTCATTTTGTAGCTGTAGTGGCCTAGGTGATGGCGTCGCAGGAATCTCATCTTCGGAATGTGAATCTAAGCTTAAGTCATCAATTTCAGAGGGATAAGAACGTGGTTCAGATGATTCGTAGTTGTGTTCTGAGTCAGATGATTGTTGTTTTTTCGGTTTTGTGTAATTATTGATTATAACTTCATCTTCAGATGTGCTGCTGTCATCGGAGGGTGCTTTTGCGGGAGGTACAAGCGCCATAATTTTTTGCGTGCGTTGCCATTTAAGCATTTTCTGAAGCAAAATAACACAAAAAACGTAGGGCATCCAAAACCAAAGCGAAAAATGAACAATAATAGGGTCTCAGATAAGAGGGGAATAAATGTTAGTACACGCGCAATGTTGAATATACTCATCATGTTAAGTTATAGGACAAAACCTAAAGCATTTCGCAATGTTGAAAATACTCAACATAGAAAAAATCAGGTGAATAATAGTAACATTCGCATTGTTGAGTATATTCAACATTCAACTTGAAAACCATCAAACACATACTAAACCACAATATTTTCAGGCTTTTTTTCATTACGTGCATAAAATAATAATTTAAAATTGAAATGCAAGGCAATAATAGGTATCAATATGATTTAAATTGCTAATAATAAATTTTATTTACCTTAGGTCCAAACGGTGCAGATGAACGTGATGCCATTTTGCCGCCACTGTCAAAATCTGACGTTTGTGACACACAACTTTCTTTTTACGAGTTGCGTTTCGTTTCACCTTTTTTTCAAAGTAAAAATATTTTTTCTACGCGTTCAAGTTTTCATACAGGATTTATTTATTTCGAATGTTGAGTATTCTCAACTTTACGAATTAAAGGGTTAAACTACATAAACAAATGCATACCTAACTTGGCCGCCATGACAGAACTTCTGAAGCACCTGTTAAGACAGAAGATGAGCAAAAGGGAGAGCTTGGAAAAACAATGGTCTGGAGAACAAGATAAAGCATTCCAAAAACTCAAACGGATGCTCACGGAAATACAGATTTTAGGGTATTATGACGTCAGAGATGCAAGACAGGTGATAGCAGATGCTAGCCCTGTCGGACTTGGTGCTGTCCTTGTACAAAATGATACAAATGGCCCTAGAATTATTGCCTATGGTAATCGAGCTTTGACAGACTGCGAGCGCAGGTATAGCCAAACGGAAAAAAAGGCACTAGCATTAGTTTAGGGGGTCGAACATTTTAATATTTTTATTTGGAAAGCCTTTTGATTTAGTCACTGACTACAAGCCGCTAGAGATATTGTTCGGGTCTAAGTCAAAACCATGTGCGAGGATTGAACGATGGATACTGAGGCTACAGTCTTATTCATTCAAGGTTATATACAAGCCAGGAAAAAACAAATATAGCTGATACCTTGTCACGATTATGTAACTATCCTGATAACCCACCAAAAGGAAAAGACCAGCATGTGTACCAAATAGTGGAAAATTCTAGACCAGTTGCTATACCAATGAGTTCCATTGTAGCATATTCAGAAAAAGAACAAGAGATTTACAAAGTGAAAAAAGGTGTCTATCAAAACGACTGGGACGATTCGATTAAGAGTTACAAATTTTTTGAAAACGAGTTGTTTCCATGATAGCATTCTACTTCGTAGAAATAAAATTGTAATACCACAGCAACTCTGCAAGAGTGTATTAGATGCTGCATACGAGGGTCATCCAGGTATCGTAGCGATGAAGGGACGCTGGAGATCAAAGGTATGGTGGCCCCGTATCGATAAAGACGTAGAACAATTAGTAAAGGCTTGTAAATGTTGTACGTTAGTGGGTTTGCCAAGCCCAACTGCACCAATGAAGAGACGAGAGTTGCCTGCAGCTCCATGGATAGATGTCACAATGGATCTAATGGAACCATTGCCAAGTAACGAGTATCTGTTAGTAGTGGTTGACTACTATAGTCGATACAAAGAAGTAAACAATTACAAAAACATCACAAGCTTTTACAGATTATTAAAATGGTAAAAGAAATGTTCAGTAGACTTGGTTATCCTATTTCTATCACCGCAGACAATGGCAAGCAGTTCGTGAGTGAAGAGTTTCGATCCTTCTGCAAAGAATGTAACATTAAGTTATTTAGTACTGTACTATATTGGCCTCAAATGATCGGCGAAGTTGAAAGACAAAACAGAGATATTTTGAAACGTCTTCGTATCAACCAGATCGAGAGGAAGGATTTAAAAGAAATGTTTATGGGAGTATCTTCTAATGTATAACAGCACCCCTCCTTACAGTTACCGGAAAGTTAGCGTCTGAACTGTTTTTTCACCGAAAAAGTAGGGATAAAATTCCATCAATAGGTGAAATAAATTACAGACAATCATTTAGATTCAGATATCAGGGATAGAGACAAAATACAAAAAAGGAAAAGGAAAAGAGTATATATATAGGAAACGCAAAGCAACTCGCTCAGATATAATACAAGGAGATAAGGTTTACGTAAAAGCAGTGGAAAATAATTAATACAGACAATACAAGCTGCTTTGTGATTGTTATGAGTTATAATGAAAAAAAAAGAAAAAAAATCTTGATAAGAAAGAGATGTAGTGTTTGCTTATATGTAGTATACAGTAAATATTGTTATTTGTTTTATTTACTAATAATTTACCATGCACAAATACACAAACATACATTTATATATAAGTCACTGTCTCGAGTGCACCGCGTCAGTTACACGAGAGCCTCGCGCGAGAGTGGACGTGTTGTTTAGTTAAAGTGCGTGCCGAGCCTGTGTTACGCTACAGTGGTTAGAGAAGATAGCAGACATTACAAGCAGAAAGGTGAAGAAAGGTTTATTAATTCAAATAAGCAAACCAGGGAAAATATTTCAAACACTGTAATTATGGCGGACGCTTATATACTCCAACGCCCCGAAGAAAGGTGAGGCAGTTTTGTTATCGATTTTTTCTTTTTTTTTAAATAAAATAATATACTAAGGTCTATTATGCAAGACAGGCACACACGTCATAATCAAACGCACCAATAGCATGATCACGGAACGCCCACCAAACCACCAATTTTTCAGAAGTGTACCGACTAGCGACAGCGCATCTGACGCGATGTTGGTCATGTACGTGTACTTTGATGATCAATCGCAGTATGTTACACAACAAAAAACAGAAACAAAAAGTGCAGTGGTGGTTAAAATAATCTTAGTGTAATAGAATACAGTATGGAGTGAGACTCATGGAGGATATGCAATTTGAAGCTATTGGAGACACAATACAAGTTTCTGATCTATCTGTATCTGATATATACATGTATATGTCCCTAAGTCTATGACATGCATAATATTTTGTCATTATGCATGTCTTGTGCCAACTATTCTACTTTTTAAAGGTTATGGTTTAGTTAAGTTATATATACACTCATTGAAATAGTTGAACATATTTGATTTCAAAATGACTTATCTTCATAATATGATAAATATTTAGTATTCATATAAATATTTAGTATTCATATATTATATGAATACTAAATATTATATTTAAAAACGAAAATATTGAAATATATTTAATACAAGTGATCCACTCCGGTTTCGCATGGGTAATTTCTGGATCTCGACAACAGCGCCACCGACCGGGTCTAAATATGGATTTCTACTATCTACGGACCCATTCAAACACAAAAAAAATCATCAAAATTGGTCAAGCTGTTTTTGAATTTCAGCAAGACTAACGGACAGCAATTGATTTTTATATATAGAGATAGATTAAATCATATTTTATTAAGTATTTTAATAATTATATAAAGTACAGTTAGAATATAATAGTTGGTGAATGAGAAACCACTAGAATTTCGAAATTTTCTGTTGATTTAAAAAAAATTAGATTTTATATTATTTGTTTATTTAAACATTTTCTTTAAAAAGCATTAAAACATACATGTCTTAATAACATACCTGTGAAGCCTCCATTTTGTTCACATCTATACTCAAATCAACATCGATAATTTCCAGGTCAGAATCATCATCGGAATCTTTCACATCCACTTTCTTAACCTCTGGGCCTGGAATTTAATACTGAGTGCCATAAAAATACCCATATACAGTATAAAGTAACTATCCCAATAGGTACCCAAATATATCCTTTAAGCATCACATCACAGCAGATTGAGGTAAAAAAAAGTAGGGCTGAATCTACCATTAGAGCTAGACGGTTGGATGGATGGTGCACCAGGATCATTATAATTGTAGCCTATAGCAGCACCAGTCCCTTTCTTTTCACTCAACTTCTCTTTTTGGAACTCTTTTTCATCAACAGTCACCCCAAACTGCTCTTCAATAGCCAACTGTTGTAAGAATTTGTCTTCACCTGGAAATAAATAAATTAGTTGAAACTTATAAATTATCAAAAAACTCTGAAGCATAGGTCATTTTATAAAAGTATTATGTTTATTCTATTATTATATATGTTATTTTATATGAATTATGTAAATGCATTTAAAATTACAAAATGCTTCATTTTTACGGACAAAAGATGACAATGCTCTTTATCTACAGGAAGATATTGAAAGACTGAATGATTTGGGGGTTGGATTGAAGATTAATACTTTTCTTAATTATTCACTTTCTACTAATCTTAATTTTGGGATAATAGCATTATTCAAAGTATTATGTGCAAATTTTGGTTGCACTGGTTCTCATACTGAATAGTCCACATGCTACTTCTACCTCTTTTTGACATACTGAAAAATTGCAGGAATGACTCCTGAAACAGAGCAGCCTAAACATTAGGATTTAGGTAATTTTTTTAAGCATACTTATTCCAAGAAAAGCATTTTGTGCCAGTATTCTGTATCTCTCATAGTTGCACTGTCTTTCTTCTTGGCTTAGTTCTTCAGGCGGTACATAGGGATTCTTTACTTCTGTGATATAGTCCAAATGGGCTCTTACATCAAAACGATCAATCATGTTATTGGTATCACCTTGCCACGGCATCCTGCAAAAATGTTTAATATCTTTTTATTATCTGCTAATCTATACAAATAAAGTGATAGAGGTTTGCAGTTGTGCGTGCATCCATGGATTTGCCTGTTGAATCAGTAAACACTAGTTTCCAATTCTTAGAAAACTTATCACACAGCTTAGAATTAGTAAATGAACTTGATATTGTGAGCAAACAAAAATAAATAGATGACTTATAAATAAAATTAAAGAGTTGTGAATCTCAATTAGACAGTACAATTTTAGAAAATAATGAGTAAGTCGACAAGTCACCAAACTGACACAGGAGCTGCTTATTCTATAAAACATATGTAAACCCCCACAAACTAATTTAACCAAAAGCGTAGGAGTTTATCCTCAAGTTTGTCCTCAACTTTCGTAAATAATATGACTCCAGATAAGAAAAACACAGAGCAAATATTTGTTTTGGAAAATAAAATAACAAAATTACAAGACCTGGAATTAGCTCAATAAGAAGTAAGAAATCTGTGCACAAAAATCAAGAGTTTAGAAAGGCAATTGAAAGACAGAACAACACCAGAAATTGATTTAGAAATTAATGATAACACAAAACAACATGTATATATCAAAAATATTTGTGTGTTACTTTGAGATAATCATGGAAATTACTTGTAACAATACAATACTATTTTTTTTGTGGCACATGTATGGAATACAAAAGCTTTTAATTTATTAAGTACAAACAATCTGCCCCCGCTTCACTCAGGTGATTGCTGGATTTCGACAACAGTGCCACCTACCGGGTTTAAATGTGAACCTAAACTATCTAGGGACCCATTCAAACACACAAAAAATTTCATCAAACGCTGTTTTTGAGTTTTAGTAAGACTAACGGACAGTAATTGATTTTTATATATATAAAAATCAATTACTGTCCTTTAGTTGTCTTGTTACTTGTCTATATAGACAAGAAGATATATGATAGACTTAAGACCAGAAATTGCCAGAACTATTTTGACCTAACCACAGTATCTAGGTTGACTGGCAGAGAATGCTTTTAGCATTAAGTCCACATTTTGTTCCTGTACTTAATATGTAAGGTTCAATAAAGTTTAAATAAATAAATACCATCGGCCATGACATTTAAAAAAATAAAATTATAAATATTATTTGTAACACAATTAGAAAGCACAGAATACTATGCAATCAAGACTAAATACCAACACTAACTAAAATGAAGTATGCAACCAAATGACCTACAAAATTGAGTATCCAACAAAGAGTATTTGATTGACTTAAAATGGGTTCACAGTTTGTATGACAAATCACACAGGTTCACTAGAAATTAACAACACAAAGGACATATTATGTCTTCGAGGTACATGCTGTATTCATGTTCATGTAGAGATACTTATTTTCATCATTTTCCATTTTCTTAAATGTAACAACAATCAATAACGGAGTGAAAATACCTCACCTCATAGGATTTATGTATGGGACTAGCTGATACCCACAACTTCGTTTGCGTTGCTTGATATATTAACAATGAAAACACATATCACTGAACACATAGTGCTTTAAAAAAATTTGTTGTTTCTTAAAACCTTAATAACTTTATATTAAATGAATGATGAATCAGTTGAATAAGTTAAGGCCGGCAACGCATCTGCAATTCCCCTGGTGTTGCGGTTGTTCATGGGCGGCGGTAGTCACTTACCATCAGGTGAGCCGCATGCTCGTTTGCCCCCTCTCCTATAAAAAAAAAAAAGTTGAAGAATGTGGGTTGAGAATGGGTGAGTCAACCGTCAAATGCCTTTGTACCCCGATGATCAAGTCATATTTGCATCGTCGGCGGCAGAGTTGCAAATGATGGTTACTTTAATGAATTGGTCATTGAAAGAAAAGGGTATGAAAGTGAACGCAAGTAAGACAAAAGTGATGGTTTTTGAAAGAGAAGAAAGTAAAACTTTATGTGAAATAAGAATAGAAGGGGAGTTGATTGAGCAAGTGGATGAGTTTGTATATTTGGGATGTTTATTTAGCAGGGATGGTAGATATGATAAGGATATAGAACGACGAGTGAACGCAGGAAATAGAGTGAATGGGGCTCTACACGCTATTATGAGGAGTCAGAATGTGTCAACTAAGGCACGTATGGCAATTCATAATGCTGTGTTAGTCCCTACTTTAATGTATGGTAGTGAAAGTTGGGTCTGGCAGAAGAAGCATGAGAGTAGAATAAATGCTGTAGAAATGCGTTCCTTAAGGAGTATGCTAGGGCTGAATCTGAATGACAGGGTGAGAAATAGTGTGATAAGAGAAAAGTGTGGTTTGCAAGATGACGTTGTGACAAGGATTAAGAAAGGAATGCTTCGGTGGTTTGGTCATGTAGAAAGAATGAACGAGGAAAGTGACAAAGCAAATTTATGTTGCAGAAGTGAACGGCAGGGTCGGGAAGGGACGCCCTAGACGAAGGTTTGTCGACCAAATCGGCGACACATTAAAAATGGGCCAGATTAGGAGTACCCTTAACCGATGAGCGTGTATGCGTAGATATATGGATGTAAAAGAGGAGAGAGAGGTGTGTCAGGATCGCGCCAAATGGAAGTCCGTAGTCTCTGCCTACCCCTCTGGGTGACAGACGTGAGTGTTTATGTTATGTTATGTTATGAATCAATCAATTTATTTATTCGTTTTCACAGGCAACAAGGTTGACAATATTATAATTTTTAAGTGTTTATCTCCGTGAAATGCTTTTACAGCATACAAACGTATATATTTACACATCATAAAATTAACCGGTTCAGTGCGGGTGGTACGCCAGGTGTGCCATCGATTACTTTTGTGTGGCGTATGACACGCGAGTCGTGTCTTTTTAAAAATCGGTATAACTCGCTCAAATTGCTTTTTTGGAAGATTTATCGTTATTTCGTTTCTGGATATTTTGAAAATTTGAAATTTTTGGGGATTGACAACCTTTTTTTAACGAGTACATGGTACTATTTTTACTTTGTGGGTTTTAAATCATATTGTGGTAAAATAGTCTAATAAGAAACAAATAATAGCACTTATTGTGATCGCTCACAAACTCAAGTTGTAAATAAATTTCTAGAAAATAAGTCTGTTAAAAGAAAACAATGCATTTGTATTATTGTTTAATTTTGAAAATGGTTGAACTGCCGTCTTATTACTATCATATGGCCGAATAGACCTACGAAGTACCATGTGCTCTTGTGATATGGTATAAGGTTTATTTTTGCTTGAAACTGTTCGAAACCGTTCATGCATAAAAAAAAGTTCGCTAATAAATAGTCTTTTGACAATCCGCCGCCGTATAGCGTCGGCGGTTTTTTCCTTTTGAAAACACTTGTTTTGCTATTCTTACTAATTAGACGTTTTCAGATCGACTTTACTTTTACATTTGTATAACATTAAATAATATTTAACATTTGTAAATATCAATGAATCATAAACCTTATTTTTTTCCAAATTAAGGTTCTTCATGGTTTGATATTTACAAATGTTATTATTATTAGGTGAAAATTTAATTTAATAAAAACCAAGGTTTTCCAGGGCGATTTAGCTGTACCTACTTATATAAATGATTTTTTTATAAAACAAAAAATATTACAAAAGGTTTGTAATCTCTGCGTAAAAAAGTCACTTACTCTCAATTTCAAAGAAAACACGTAAAAAAACACGTAGTTACCCACTAAAAACAAGTATCCTTCCGTTTGTAACTGATGTTTGATGTCAACTAAACTTAATTAGATCTAAACAAGCGAAAAAAGGATAAAAAGGAACATAACTTTTACACATGGCTGATGGCATAATAGGCGTGTCATCAACTTCTGTGGTTCTGTGGCAACAAATATTTGTTCGCCGCTACAGCTAAAAGTTGTCGAAAATCGGTGCCGCAACGAATCGGTTAAATATAAATGAAACAAATCAAAATAACAGTTAAATTAAGTAAACGGAGTCAAAACAAAATTATTAAATTACATATTTAAATCATTAGTAAATAGAAATTTTTTGACATTATATTTTTATAGGATAGGAGGGTGACAAACGAGCACACAGTCCACCTGATGGTAAGTGGTTGCTGTGACCCATAGACATCCACATTTATCTTCAATAAAGAATCAAAATGCAGATGCGTCGTCACCCATGAGGACTAAGATGGAATGCCTATTTTCCAGTAAAATGAGTCACCGGTTCTCTACACTCACCATACGAAACACAGCAGCGTTAAGCTGCTATTTTACGCTGGTTTTCTGTGAGAGCGTGGTCCTTCCCCAGTCGAGCCGACCCATTCGTGCTACAACTATACTACTAATATAGCTGCAGCATGGCTCTACCACGTGAAAATTATAATATAACTAAGTAATTATAATAACATATAAGAAAATTACTTAGTTTATTTAAATTTTTGCACATTATAACATTTTATTTGAACAGGTAATTTCTTATATAATTTAGGGGCCATTTTAACAACACTTTTTTCATAAGGGCAGTTTTACATACTTTTTTTCTGGATTTTTTGTTTCCGAGGACGAAGGTTCACAGAAGATGGTTGTACTCTCATATCAAAAAGATCTGTTTTATTCCCATAACTTATTGTTTGAGTGGGGGTACTTTTACTTTGTGTAAATTGCATTATTTTTGCTTTTTCTAGATTAACATTGAGATTATTTGTTTTTAACAATTTAATAATATTTTCAATATTAAAATTAATATTTTTTTCATATTCTGCTACACTGTAACTGTACAAAAACAGTGTTATCGTCTGCAAACACTGGCATTGGGTGTTTTCAAGACTCAACAATATCATTGATTTGATGTGTATTATAAATAGCAAATGACCCAAAACACTACCTTGAGGAACTATTATTAGACATATTATATTTTTTTCATGCCTAGTACAGAGATACACATCTGACTGATTACAGTTTTTTGTGTTCTATCTGTTAAATAAGATTCTATTAAGTTCTGTGCGTTACCTCTTACATCATAACGGCTTAGTTTTTCTAGCAATATGTTATATTATATAGTATGGTCTACATGTTCAAATGCCTTTGTCATGTCCATATAAATGGCACATGATGGGATTCTTTTATCTAAACAAATTACTGATCTTTTACTACTACTAAAGTCATATATTGCTGTCGCAATTGTAGTATTTATGTGAAATCCCTTTTGCTCTTTATTTAAAATTGTATGTTTCTAAAAATGCATAAACTGAATTTGTTTGTCACCTTTTTTAAATAATGACTTTAAAACTGACTGATTTCAAATTGTTTGGGAATATACCTGTAGTATAGCTTAAATTTATAATATGACTCAAAGGTCTTGCTATTGTAGAGTTAACATGTTTTATTACTTTTGTAATAAAACATGTCATTTCTTAATTTTACAAACTGAGTCAGGTGTTGTCGCATTATTATCACAATTATTGTTGGAATTGTCATTATTATTATTATTTAAAGAAATGTCAGTATTAATAGTACAATTGTCAGGTTTTATGTCATCAATAAAAGGTCATTAAAGGCATTAGTGATGTCGATAGGGTTAGTAAGGTATTCATTACTCAATCTTTGCTTCTGTATTGGTTCTTTGGGAATATTTATTTTTGATTTATATATAACAGACTAAGTTGCTATCATTTTATTTTTCGACTTATTTATATAATACATAGTCATTTTGAGAATGTTGTGTGTTTTTTATCATTTTCTTAAATTTTGATGAATATTCTTTTAATAGAGAGAGCATCTTTGCTTTTATTTCTCCTAAAGTGCCAAAGTAAATACCACTCATTTTTACAATAAGCCTTCAGTCCCTTTGATATCCATTTTTGTTTAGAATTTAGTGTATTTTTAATAGTTTTATAGGGGAAGCATAGATCATACAAGCATTTGAATATGTCAAAAAACTATCATAAGATGTATTAGGATCTGAAGAATTAAATGTATCTTGGAAACTTAGACTATCAAAACATCTTTTAAATTTTTGAAGGTTTTTGTAGCTAAAATCTCTTCGTTTAATTACTCCACTAATTGATTGTACATGTTTTTACAGGACATTTTAAAATTTGCACCATATCATCTGAAAGGCATAGTTCAATGACTTCACTGTTCGATCCTCTTATATTATGTGCAAAATGTCTATACACATGCCTCTTGCAATTCTTGTCGGCTTTTTTATCTCTAGCATCAGATTGTAGCTTAACAGTAGATTCTTAAATTCTCGACTAACAGAAATATTTTTCAATATATCAATGTTGAAATTGCCACATATAATTATATTTTTATTTTTAGTATTTATAATAGTATTTAAAATGCCTCTAAGAGTATCATAGAAAGTATGCAGACAAGATTTATTTATGTTAGGAAATCTATAAATACATATTACAATAATGTTATGGTCATATTTCTACAGCACAGGTCTCTGTTATACATTCAGTCTAGAATTTCTTAATATTATTGACTATACTCTATACTTTAATCCTTTTCTTACTAAAATACATGACCCCCCACGTCTTTTATTTCTTGAAAATATGGTTGCTAATGTGAAATTGGGTATCGTAAGGAATTCCTCCAATTCTGGTTTCATATTGTGCTCGGTCACACATAAAATGTCGATAGCTTTTTTTTGTCTGTCTAAGTCACCTAGATTTAATACTAACTCATTACATTTGCTCAAAAGTCTGGATATTTTAAGATGTAATGTAAATAATTGCTTATAGAAGAAAAAACTGATTTTCATCAGAGACAATATAGTTCTCTTTTCTTGTGTCAACTTGCTTCTCATTACTCGATTTTTGTAGAGATAATATTTGTTTGGCAATATTTTGTATTAAGTTTTGCACTCCATTTTGTTTTATTTTATCAGTAAACTATGAAAACATATCATTTATTAAGTCCCGGTTTGAATCAATGAAATAGCCATATTTATTAACGCTTATGTCCTTATATAGTTAAAGAAGTTACAACAAGACTTCTACTCTGTAGTTATACAATGGCTTTCCATATATGTATGTTGGTGAAACTAGGATTATGTTAGTATTTTTTACTTGTTCCAGACTGTTTTTGATTGTTTTCACCGGACTTTTATAGTCTTCAGAGGTATTAAAATCAGATTCTCCGATTATCACAACACAATAGTCATGTTTTGTATAGTCCTTTAGTTATTTATGTATGTTTTTTAAAATTATCTCTATCCCAACATTTGTAGTAATAAAGTGACATAACTCATACCAACTTAGAATATGAGTTCTGTTTACATTTTGAAGTATTTTATACCTCTTGTCACTTGTAAATATACACAATTTATTTATTTTGTGGTTTATGTAATGATTTAGTATCTTTATGTATATAACATTGTTATATATTGCATATAGTGACTACCATATTTATTTTCAATGGTAAATTGAAAAAAGCCTAATCACGTAATATTATTATTAAATATTAACATTAACGTAACAAACTAAAAGTATGGCCAAGGTGCTTGATCTTGGTCTACTACACAGGCACAGTACAAAAGATTTCATAAATTTTTGTGACTGGTGAAACCGGAATGTTGAAAAAAAACTATTGCAACACGATCAGGGTCGTAAGGAATCGTTCATGGTTGATGTGTCAATTGTGTATTCCACACGAAACCGAAAGCAACTAAATATACAAACAACACGATGTTATATGATAGTTTCAATAATGACAACGCAAATTATAGGTTTAATAAAATATTAAACTAACATTATAGCAGGTCCTTCTCCAGCTGCAGCAATAGCAGGATCTAAATGAATTTTACATGGTCGTCCATGAAGTTGCAAAAACTGAGTAGGTTCGGCTTTCTAAAACGTAATAGAATTATTTTTAACAACTCAATAAAGAATGATATTCCAAAATACAAAGGGATGAGAAAAATATGTAATATGAAATAATTACAATTTTTTCGTAGAAATCTTTTCGGCGTTCTGCCCTACGTCGGTAATCCACAATCATACCACGGATCATTCGTTCCTGCTTTCTTGCTTCATGCCACATCTTAAAAAGTTATAAATAGTACTCAAATAGTAATTTTGAGAACTAACTCTACGATTAATGACAATGAGTACTCTACTCGTACATAAACTGATTAATTAATAACAATAAAATCAATCTGGTCCGACGCCATTGTTTACACAGTCCACGACAGGGATGTGAAAAAATAATCGATTTTCATATAAATCGATTATTTTTTTCTTATAATCGATTTTTCGAAGTCGATTTTTTTATAATAAAAATCGATTTTTAATAAATCGATTTTTATGTAAACTACGCGTTGCAATCGATTTTTGTAATCAGAGTCATCTGTGCAATGGATGTAAAAACGTGAAGTAAGTTCAATAACATGAATAAGTTAATCAAAAGACGGCGCCACCTTTATGTATCTCTATGTATGTAAAACAGTTTCGCTTTTCGTATGTTTTCAACAGGTTTCTTCCTCCGCTAGGAGTAAAAGTATTCTGTGGTTTTCTTTCTTTCTTTGGTTAGTGTAAACAATTATATATAAAAAATAAAAAAGTCTTGTGAAACGCCTAAAAGTGACTGACAGAAGTATTTTATAATGAAAAAATGATAGCGGCCAACACGTCAATAGGCAAAAATACTGAATTGTAGGTAGGTAGGACATAATTATAGGATGCCAAGTAGGTGGCATCCTATAATTAATAAAATCCATCTTCTCTATTGAAGTTAGGATGTTTTTTTAATTTCGATAGCCTATCAAATCATCCTTGGTAGGAATCGGTGTTCTTTTGCGAGGATTTGTGGTTCAACTATGACATAGGGACGTCAAACACCTCAGTCCCCTTTGTGACCATGCGTGCTGTAACGCACCTGAAATGTCGGGAATTAAAAAGTTAAATTAAATGCGATAAAATCCGTAAAACTTAGTTTTATTTATCGTTTCTGTTTATTTTGGTTGTAATAAATTGTTAAATGGCACTGAACATTTGTGGCAGTAATTATTTTTAGTTTTTTATTGTTCAAAGTTATATGTTAAAAAAATTGTTCTGTAGTTTATTTCTAAAACCAAAAGATTATTTTTCGAATAAAACTTTTTTCCGCAAAAATCGATTAATTTTTATAAAAAAAAAAATCGATTTTTCTTAAATCGATTATTATCACAAAGATAAAAATCGATTTTTTGTTAATCGATTTTTTTCACTCAATGTCACATCCGTAGTCCACGATAGGGATATGAAAAAATAATCGTTTTTCATATTAATCGCTTATTTTTTGTTATAATCGATTTTTCAAAGTCGATGTTTTTTATAATAAAAATCGATTTTTAATAAATCGCTTTTTATGTAAATTACGCGTATCAATCGATTTTTGTAATCAGAGTCATCTGTGCGATGGATGTAAAAACGTGAAGTAAGTTCAATAACATGAATAAGTCAATCAAAAGACGGCGCCACCTTTATGTATCTCTATGTATGTAAAACAGTTTCGCTTTTCGTATGTTTTCAACAGGTTTCTTCCTCCGCTAGGAGTAAAAGTATTCTGTGGTTTTCTTTCTTTCTTTGGTTAGTGTAAACAATTATATATAAACAATAAAAATGTCTTGTGAAACGCGTAAAAGTGACTGACAGAAGTATTTTATAATGAAAAAATGATAGCGGCAAACACATCAATAGGCAAAAATACTGAATTGCATCTATATATTGCGGCACCACTATCAAATCTCAAGGCAGATGCCCTCAATATATGGAGAAGCTCTGAAGGAACTTTCCCTAAACTAACCGGATTGGCTTTTAAACACCTCTCAGTGATGGCCAGTTCCGCGCCAGCCGAAAGATTATTTTTGAAAGCGGGAAATATTGTCAGGAAAAAACGAAACCGTATTTTGGGAAAGAGATGAAGAAGAATTTTGGTGAAATGGTTGTTTTTAAAGTCTTTAACTGAAAATTCATGTCAATATTTTTTTTTACTTTTTTGTTTACACTAGTGTAAAAAAAGATTTGTCTTTTATTTTAGTTTTGAGATCAAAAGGTTGTCGTCGGATTATTTATAATTATATTTTTATTTTATTTTCATTTTAATCCAATGTAAATGATACTGAACATTAGTGGCATAATGATATTTAGACTTTTTGTTTCTTCAAACTTAGTTTAAAAAAAACTATCGTTTACTAAAATTATGGTTTCTTAATGATTTCTTATATTTACGCGAAGACTACACATTAAATGAAATTAATTTTTACGGATTTGATCACGCTTAATTTAATGGTCACGGGGGGAACTGAGGTCTTTGACGTCCAGATGTCATAGTTGGCCTGGCTAAATTCAGTTTTTGAATATTAATTTTTGGTCCGATCTACGCAGAATGAGATTACAGTATCTTGAAGTCTTACAGTGGTATGCTTGGGTTTGGATTTAATTTTATTAATTATAGGATGCCAAGTAGGTGGCATCCTATAATTAATAAAATCCATCTTCTCTATTGAAGTTAGGATGTTTTTTTAATTTCGATAGCCTATCAAATCATCCTTGGTAGGAATCGGTGTTCTTTTGCGAGGATTTGTGGTTCAACTATGACATAGGGATGTCAAACACCTCAGTCCCCTCTGTGACCATGCGTGCTGTAAAGCACCTGAAATGTCAGGAATTAAAAAGTTAAATTAAACGCGATAAAATCCGTAAAACTTAGTTTTATTTATCGTTTCTGTTTATTTTGGTTGTAATAAATTGTTAAGTGGCACTGAACATTTGTGGCAGTAATTATTTTTAGTTTTTTATTGTTCAAAGTTATATGTTAAAAAATTGTTTTGTAGTTTATTTCTAAAATCAGAAGATTATTTTTCGAATAATTTTTTTTTCGCAAAGATCGATAATTTTTTTATAAAAAATCGATAATTTTTTGTTATAAAAATCGATTTTTCTTAAATCGATTATTATCACAAAGCAAAAAATCGATTTTTATTAATCGATTTTTTTCACTCAATGTCACATCCGTAGTCCACGGTAGGGATATTCGATATACATCGATGCATCGATTCACTCGATGTTTACAATACGATGCATCGAATCGATCCGATGTTTTGGAAAGTTATTGATATACTCGATGTATCGATGTATTTTCATAAAACATCGAATCAATGATAACCAATCAATTGTAAAAAGGTATACTTATTTAGCACTATTAATATTATAACTTCTAAATCAGAAAAACTAAAACATTCTCTGATTTAGAAATTATAATATTTAAAGCTGTTGGTGGCGCTAGTTGGCAGCTGTCAGTCCCTTAGCGGAATCAATAAATTGAGATTGACTGGATGTGTATTAAAGAGAATCTAAAAAAAATCGTCTGGTCTGTCTCGGTCTTCAGGCGGCTACTCACTTTTGTATCGCAGGGACAATCTAGGACGAACAGCGATCGGGGCACCATTTTCCGTGCTTGCCTATGCAGTGTACGGTTCATCCCTATGAACCGTACACTGCAAAAATGGCCCCTGCCATTCTTGTAAAAAATAACAAAATATTTACATTTTTATACAATATAATACGAACTACGCTATTTTAAATCAGGCAATAAAAAATCAGGGGCAATATCAGAACTGTCTCTACACATGTGTGTAGAGACAGTTCTGCCGTTCTATGTGAGAGTGTACGTCTCGCTGGACACACGCGTTGCGAATGGCGCTAGTTTTATCAAAATATAAATGAATCGATAAATATAGCCTTAGCTCTTTTTTTATATAGAATAAGGGTGACAAATGAGCACAGTCAACCTGATGTTAAGTGGATACTGTGGCCCATAGATACCCATATTTATTAATAAAACAACAAATTAATTAATATTTACACGTGGTAGAGCCATGCTGCATCTATATTAGTAGTATAGTTGTAGCACGAATGGGTCGGCTGGACTGGGGAAGAACCACGCTCTCACAGAATACCAACGTAAAATAGCAGCTTAACACTGATGTGTTTCGTATGGTGTGTGTAGAGAACCGGAGACCCTTTTTACTGGAAAATAGATATCGGGTGACAACGCATCTGTTCTCTGATTCTGTGATTCTTTATTGAGGATAGATGTAGATGTATATGGGTCACAGCAACTACTTACCTTGTGTGCTCGTTTGTCACCTTATCCTATAAAAAATACCATAACACAGTCCTTAAAAGCTGCAGTATGACTCTACCACGTTTAAAATCGTTACAACGTTTAAGTAAGGTTCTTTCTGCGGTGCTACCGCAAAAAAAAAAGACAAAAAGGAGATACTGGGTGAAGAAGCCGCGCTTAATACACTTCTATCACCAGTGTCCAAATTTCATATTTTTATTTGTATCCATTATGACGTGCGCTGCGCGCGAAAGTTGCTAACGAACTGATTGAAATTGCCCCAATTGCGCTACACACGTGGTAGCGGTAGCTATGATCTAGGGAGCAAGGAATGTCTTGCACCCATGTCACTCTGCCGCAGGGCTGAATTAGAAGCCCCTGCTTTCATACACACATCACAATTTAGGGTTATCCCCACTCTTACACCCTAGATTGCCCCTGCGGCAGGCAAGTAAATAGCCTTTAGACCATTTAACCCAGTGGACTCATCTCGCATAATTATTCCCCTCTGCCAAGGTATTGGATTTAAAAGCTTGTGCGTTTATAAAAACTGTATACTAAATCGATTTTATCATTACCAGAAATATTTCCGCCGTAGTAGGTGCTCTTTACAAAATGCCGATCGGAGGGGTTAACGTGTACAAAAAGCAGTCGAAATGCTTAAAATTTACAAAAAGATGCAATTATATTCCATATGTAAGTAATTTTATTGTGACGCATGCTTTTTTCTATTAAAATCATTTAAAATAATATAATAAATATTGTATAAACAAAAATAATATAAACATTGACCTACTACTAAATGCGCTCAAGTGTCCGAGTCAAAAGAATTCCAAAATGCAAAAAGAGTTCCAATTGCGCGCCAGTCTTCGTTTTGTCGACCGATAATACACTCCAAAATACCGTATTGTATCACAAAACTATAATTTCGATATGGACTATTAATATTTAATCATTTAAAAGTAATATTTTGCTTAGATACAAGGTACGTAAATTCACATTAATTGTAAAAACAAAAAATCATACCAATAATTTTCGCTAGAAGCTACATAAGATGAAAACAGCTTCTGGTTG